CATATGTAAATAAAAGGAATATGTCAAAATAAATGTAAAATAAAATACAAATATAACTTTGCCTTGATGGTAGGAACTAAGAAAAAAACTAAATAAAGGAATATACCAAAATAAATATAAAATAAAATACAAACAGAACTTAACTTTGGTGGTAGGAACTACGTAAAGATCAGGTTAACAATCGCTCCAAGAACTATTCCAAAAATTGGCTGCATTGTGATGTCTATATTGATTGTATTTTTTGTTTCACTTTTTTTTTTGGTGGGGGCAGCACGTCATATCAAATTACAAAATATTCTGCCAAATCAAGCAACATTTTACCTTTTGAGTCATAGCTGTTGCTAAGCTGAGCTCCTATGGACTTAACTTTTCCATCTAAAGATGCTCTGGCAAAATTTCAAAGCCCATCTACATTGGCAAACTCACCTAAGGACTCACTGACCTTAAGATATATGCCAACCAACCTCTAGCATCACTTCTCGGACTTTCTATACCTATTCCTCAAGAAAAAGAGCTGTTTTGGATAATATATTACTTACAACTTCTATTAGAATAACATCTACAAGTAGTCTTAGAACCATCCTGACAATCTAAATCATTATTAATACCAAATATTTGTATTGTTGGAAGTATCCATCTTTTTGGCTCCACTGACATAAAACGCACAAAGGAGTAACTTCGAGGGCTCAAAAATATAAAACTAGCTGGGATCAACCAGCTAGTTTTATATTTTTGAGCCCTCGAAGTTAGAAAATGGAAACAGATCACTGCCTTGGACCCTTATAACCAAATGCCTCTCAGATCGCTATTAACCTAAAATAAGAAAATGGAGAGTGTTGGAGAAATTATAGAGAAGTAATTTTCCACCCAACATGATGAGAAAGATCCATAAAAAAGACATTTCAGAACACAACACAGTAAACATCCACACCCACCTATACAGCAAGCAGATTTCCCAAAACAGCACTTACTCTTACTAGACTAAATTGTTTTTATCAGCAACCCACTTCATGGATTTCGGATCATTTCCCATGTGTCATCTCCCACAATATGAAAACTGTTCTAACAAATGATTAACCTAGAAGCTTCCAAGAGTCTTTAAATATCCTAGATTAAACAAACAAAAACCTGTTCTAAAATCAGAAGCTTCATAGCAAAAGAAAATGACAAAGATTAATTTTATTCAAAATACTTAAATATTACAATAGACATTAAATGCCATTTCCTCCAATAATCTTTTACGTAATCTAAAAGTAAATCTTTCACAGAAGTATTTAGTTTAGCATGTGATGACAGAGAAAATAAAATACAAGCCTTACCACAATGGACTTCCTCTGCCCTTTCCAGGAGACAGACTTACTTCTAACGTAGCAAACACAAGCCCAGGAAATGAGAGAGAGAACGAGGAGGGAGGGAGCAAGGATGACTCAGGGAGAATCACAGCACATGAGCCAGTCTGTGCCCTCACTGTGCTGCAGGGCAAATAAAAGTCAGAACTGAAGCTAGGAGTGATCAGGCTTAAAGAGAGGGGGGAAAACCCAGATTCTTCAGGGACCCAAGTAAAAACCTGACATTTGTAAAAATGTAACATTTTCACAAAACACTTTCACATCATTATTTTTGTGAGATAGAGAAGCTCTTTCTTCCCTTTTTGTAGTTGAAACTGAGGCTCAGAGAAATTAAATGAATCCTCCCAAAACACAGGGTTAGTATTTGGCAGAGCGGGGGGCAAGAAACAAATCTTTTTGTGATTTCCAATCCTTTTCTCAGTTCATCATTCTCTGGGTAAAAAGGCAGAGTGGAAAAAAAAAAAACAAGGTAGAAAGAGAAAAACAGGTTGGGCAAGGTAGCTCATGCCTGTAATCCCTGCACTTTGGGAGGCCAAGGAGGGGAGGGGGGGCATTGCTTGAGGCCAGGAGTTTGAGACCAGCTTCAGCAACATAGTGAAGCTCTCTCTCTGTGAAAAATAAGCCAAGTGTGGTAGTGCATGCACACTGTGGTCCCAGCGACTAGGGAGGCTGAGGTGAAAGGATCACTTGAGTCCAGGAAGTTGAGACTGCGATGAGCCATGATCACGCCATGGTACTCCAGCCAGGGCAACAAAGCAAGACCCTGTCTCTAAGTCCTAGCCATTTCTGTTAATAATTCAGAAAACAAAATATTATTTTTCTCCTTCAAATCTATATGCCCAAAACCTGCCTGTTCCTAACTATGTGCTATCACTCCATTCATCCAGCAGATTATGGCTGCTGGCACCACCTCCTCTGCTGCAGGTTTTCAAAAGTAGCTGCACTTTGAGAGCTAGGCAGTTTGTTTCCTTGATGTTGTGTTCCGGTGACTAAAGACAAATACATTCCCCATGGAAATCATACCACAGGCTTTATATAACAGACAAGCAAGATCATGTGGTCAAATGATTCTCTTCTGGAAGGGTTTTAGGAGCTGTCAATGTAATATTCAACAGAAAGTACCTTAAGGAGATTCACGCTGACAGCTTGTGTCACAAAGTACATTTTTGCCAACTAGCATAAAAAAGCAGTATCCTTCACGCTTGTCATCCCAGCACTTTGGGAGGCTGAGGCAGGCAGATTATAAGGTCAGGAGATTGAGACCATCCTGGTTAACACAGTGAAACCCTATCTCTGCTAAAAATACAAAAACGTTAGCCAGGCGTGGCAGCATGCGCCTGTAGTCCCAGCTACTAAGGAGGCTGAGTCAGGGGAATTGCTTGAACCCAGAAGGCAGAGATTGCAGTGAGCCGAGATCGCACCACTGCACTCCAGCCTGGGCAACAGAGTGAGACTCAATCTCAAAA